ACAACTTGGTATCAGAGCCTAGGTAGATCTCATAGCTTTTTCCTAGGAAGTCGCGCCCGTGTGTGTGATTTTTCGTGTTTGCGAAATTTTTTTTTATAAATATTTTCAAACCTAGAACAACAACTTATAGACGCTAATTTGATTGATGTTTTTTTTTTTAACTTTTCTTTTCCTTTTCCTTTCTTTTCTTTCCTTGAGCCTAAGCAACCAGTCGCGCATGGGCTGAGCCAAACCAGGAGGGTCTATTCAGCACCATCTCATCAGATTGCATCATCAAAGAAGATCCACCTGAAGCTTATATTAGTGATTAGGAAAAAAAAAAATTTCTTGGGAGTAGAACTTTATTTATTTTTAAATTGATTGATTGTTTTAGGATTTATTTTATTCATAAATTAGTTAGATTCTATGTTGATGTTCCTTTCATTTTTCTTTTTCAAAAAAGGAAAATTGCTATACTCCTTTTGCATTAGTAAAATGGCTTTTGGCTTTTATACAAATGTTTTATTGCCATCATTCATTGAACTCACTCTCCTTCACGATCTGTCTACCACCACTCTGTGTTCCTAACCTCAACCTTCTTCTTCGATCATGTTCCTCTATCTCTTAGACCTTCTCTTTTCTTATTTTTTTATCTCAATCTTTTTCATTTCTTTCCACAGTCTTTTTCTCTAGGATTCAGAGACAAATCTTGTTTAAGAGGGGAAGATTGTAACAACCCGATCTTTGGTTCTACAAATATCGGTTTGTTTCTGATTTTTAATCTCAGTCTATTTTATTTTTTGCTATTTTTATTGGGCTTCTTTATTTGTTTTCATTCCAAAAGCCCATCAATCTAATATATGAAACCCTAATTATAGATTCCTCTTTGATCTCTCATTCTCACCTTTAGAAACCCTAGCCACATTATTCTCTTTTCTCTCCCTCTCTCAGACACGCCACCTTCTCTCTCTCTCACCATCACTCTCTTTCTCTCCCTCTCTTCCTCATCTGCTTATCTCTTCCTTTCTCTAAAATCCTAGCCTTTTCCGCCACCTTTCATGACGTTTCCCCGGTGAATTGTAAGGAGCCATGCGATGATATACCTATCAATATGAAGCCCCGAGTCGCAGCTTTCTAAGAAGACCAAGTTTTTCAAAATTAAATATCTTTGCTTAGAGTTATTGCCGTTTTCGTATCGGGTGTGGGATCTGCCCAAAGAGGAGAAAAGGTGTATCTTCTTCCAGAAAGGCATCTGTGAGAACTTGCTGCTTCATCATCTCTTTCATATGCATGTTTATTTATAGTTAGTATTTTCTTAAACCAAAGCTTAGATCTGCTTGCTAGGGTTTGTAGATGAATGATAAGACCTGGATCTCTGTTGACTGATTGTTGATGATTGATGGTTGCTGGTGGCATGATACTCAAGTAAACTGAATTGGATTTAACCCTATAGAACCCTAAAAGAAACACCTTATTTGATGACCTGTTGTTCTTTCTAGGATTATGTTACACGCACCATCAAATGTGCATTTTTAAATGGAAGGATTAATATTAAAAAGAAGTATTGTTTGTTGATTGTTCCTATTGTGTGATATATAGAAATTTTAGGTCCCCAACCCATCCTTGTGTGGTGTGTCGGTGTTATTTGAGGGCTGGTATGGTATCTGTGTGACCGTGCCAGCAGTCAACGTCGGGTGGAGTGACAATCCACCAATCCGTTTGTGTGACCACAGCCTGTCTGTGTGACTGTTGGCTACGTTTTTTGTGAGACACAGGGACAGTCTGTGTGACTGTGTACAGTCCGTTGTAATTGGGTACAGTCTGTTGTGACTAGGGGATATTGCCCTATTTGGTGGGCATATTATCATTGTTCAGGGCCATCCCATGCCTTGCCGGGGAGGCTGAGTGTCTGTGTGTTTCGACCAGGTCCGTTGTTTGGTAATTGTTTGTAGGGATACCCTTTGTGATGTGGAAGTGTGTAGGTCTAGATAATATTATGACTGCTATTTTTTTAGTTTGGTTTAGGATTGGACTTATTTTAAATAACTCATGTTTGTTTGATGGTGTTGTATACCTCTTTAAGGCTCATCCTCATTTAGTAATCCTCATTACTCACCTTCCTCTTCTCTTGTTTCCTCCAGGATTAGGTAGATCAGTTAAGTCTATGTTGTTGTTATTGGGGCGTTTTCGATCCTGACAGACCTTAGGTTCACCAAAAGCCAAAATCAGGTATCTGACCGAATTAAGTTATACTACCAAACTAACATATCCAATTATCCCGCCTTTCTAGAAAACCCGAAATAGGGATGTTACAACTTGATATCAAAGCCCAGGTAAACCTCTCTCTAGTCTAGAACTTAGGTCAAAGTGAAGACTTGTTACCCTTTACTATTTTCAATCCGTATTTTCCTCATTTTAGCTTAGGCTAGGGTTAAACCATATATTTTCCATGAAGTGAACTATTTGATTGCTGAGTGATCCCTTGACTGATGGAATATTATTTGAATATTTTCCATATTATTTAACTTTTTTATTGCTTGTTTCACAAGTCACCTTAACAACCCCTAAATAACTAATTGACCTAACATCTGGATTTTCTATACACCGACCTTTCTTTGGTCTCCGAGACTTTGTTTTTACCTCTTTTCGACCATTTCTGTTCATCTCTCTTCAACCCTATACAGGCTTTTATCTCAGAGTGCTCTCTAAAACAGCAAATTCTTTTGTGGATACATCCTCTCTTTTGGACCCAAAGTCACTTAAGCTTTTCATTTTTTTCTTTCGATTCTTTATGGTTTCTGTTGTATAAAATTGTTGTCTTTTCTTTCAGTTGTCCTAACTTGAGAGTTGGATAGTCGTCAGAAAATACACCACTATCATGTTTTCTGGATCTTGAAGTGTTTGCTACTTGTGCACGACTCTTATTCTAAATGGAAAAAAAATCTCCCAAAATATATGTAAAAAATCTTCATATATGAATTTGAAGAAAAATTATATATATTATTAGTTTTATATGAATTTAAAATAATAATAGTTATTATTTTTTATATAAATAATATTCTATATGAATTTGAGACGATGATAAATTTAATTGGAGCTTTTTTTTTAAACACCTCTGTGGGTACGACTCTATCTATTGGTCGCTTCTCACACAAGTAGTGGTAGGGTGGTAGAGGGGTACCATATCATCCTTGAAGGGATTACAGAACTCTATTTAAATGGTTCCATCAATGAAGGGACCGGAAGCTAGGTGAGATGTCACTGAAGAGCGTGACTAAGATCTTAGAATCTCGGTATTTTATTAGTATAAGATTTTATTACCACGAGGGACACGAAGTACTAATGTTGTCCATAGAACACACTTGTCCTCTTCTTTTTTCTTTACATTTTTAATTTAAATGTAAATGGTTTATTGGTCGCTTCTCACACAAGTAATGCTGGGGTGGGAAACGGCCGGGCACCATCCTCAAAGGGATCACACAATGACACAACTATAATTAAATGGCTCATTCAATGAAGGGACCGAAAGCTAGGTGGGATGTCCTCAAAAACCGTGCCCGATAGCTTAATTAGCATCTCGTAATAATTTTTAATGTCTATTACCACGAGGGCCACGAGGCACTAATATCGTCCATAGTACACACTTCTCTCTTCCTTTTATACTCTTTCGCTACACAGACTTCTCAATCCTCTCTCTCTGCCATTGAGATTCTGATCTCTGCCTTGGCTTTTCTCTCCCACCGTAAGTGTTCTTTCCTCTTTGAGCTTGGTTTTGACTTGATGATCACTTTCTGCTCTTTCTACACGATGATCCTTTGGTCTTTTTACACTTACGTCTCTATATATGATTGATCCAACTCATACTTGGCTTAGATCTTTCGTTTCTTGTAACATCCCGATTTCCGGTATATATGGAAAGGCTTATAAGAATTGATTTGGCTACCTATGTCAACAAAGTGCACTTATCTTTTCCGGTCAAGTGTGCTGAGAGAACTCCAGAGTTAAGCGTGCTGATGCTGGAGTAGTCTCAGGATGGGTGACCTACCGGGAAGTACTCTACGGTACTGTGCGAGTGAGGACAAAGCACGGGGAAAGATCATGTGGTGATTGCAGGGATAGTAGACAATCTTACGAGCCTTTCGAAATAACGACTCCCGACCGTCGGACAGTGGTGGGCCAACGGGCCTAGAGAGGACGTTGGGCCCACGTGCCTAGAGAGGGCGTTGGGCTCACTGGGAGGGGCGGTTGGGGGGGAGTTAGGATTGATATCGCCGGTCCGCGCCTGGTTCCCAAAGGGAGGGCGGGTCGGGATGTCACAAGTGGTATCAGAGCCGACACCCAACCACGTGTGTGGAGTCGTCATGTGGCCTCACACCGTAACAGGGTGAACGATCCTGGTGCAAGCACTGTGGGAGTAAAGGGAGAATTCGGGGACGAATTCCTTGGAAGTCGGGGAGAATTGTAACATCCCGATTTCCGGTATATATGGAAAGGCTTATAAGAATTGATTTGGCTACCTATGTCAACAAAGTGCACTTATCTTTTCCGGTCAAGTGTGCTGAGAGAACTCCAGAGTTAAGCGTGCTGATGCCTGAGTAGTCTCAGGATGGGTGACCTACCGGGAAGTACTTTACGGTACTGTGCGAGTGAGGACAAAGCACGGGGAAAGATCATGTGGTGATTGCAGGGATAGTAGACAATCTTACGAGCCTTTCGAAATAACGACTCCCGACCGTCGGACAGTGGTGGGCCAACGGGCCTAGAGAGAGGACGTTGGGCCCACGTGTCTAGAGAGGGCGTTGGGCTCACTGGAAGGGGCGGTTGGGGGGAGTTAGGATTGATATCGCCGGTCCGCGCCTGGTTCCCAAAGGAAGGGCGGGTCGGGATGTCACATTTCTGATCCAATTTCTACAAAGCTCAAAGGAAGATTTTTTTCCTTGATTCTCTTTGAGGCATGTCTTTCAACTCTGTGTTGTTATCGTATCTGGTCCTCTTTCTTTTGGTTTTAAGTTTTAGTACTATCGAAGATTATGGCAGAAGGAGGGATTCAGACACTTATTGTTGATAATGGTTCCGGAATGATCAAGGTGACTTCCTTTTTTGACTTATGTTGTGAATGAAAGGGTCGAATCATAGTTATAAGAAATTTGCTGCGGATTTCCAGGGAATTTGCGAGGGATTTTAAAATTTCAAACATGTGAAAACGGCTAATTAAATTAATGGCTATTTAATCTCCGAATTTTTTTTAGGGATTTCTGGCCGTAAAAAAATTCTGACAGAAATGGTGGTAGAAAATTTCTGACGGATTTCCGACTCATCAGAAATCCATAATGAATGTCATCAGAAATTCCATCAGAAACAACATTCTTCTATTGTAGTGTTCTTTTCTCCTTCCTTTGATCAAGTCTCTATCTTGATAGGCTGGTCTTGCTGGTGAGGATGCTCCCAGAGCAGTCTTCCCAAGCATTATAGGTCGTCCCATTGAAGGAATGGGACATAAAGATGCTTATGTTGGTGATGACGCTCAATCGAAAAGAGGTGTACTTACCTTGAACTATCCTATTGAACATGGTATAGTCACTAATTGGGATGATATGGAGAAAATTTGGCATCACACATTCTACAAAGAGCTTCGTGTTGCTCCTGAAGACTGCTCTGTGCTTCTTACTGAAGCTCCTCTCAACCCTAAAGCTAACAGAGAGAAGATGACTCAGATCATGTTTGAGACTTTTCACGTACCTGCTATGTATGTTTCCATGCAAGCTGTGCTTTCGCTTTATGTTAGTGGCCGTACTACAGGTTAGTGTCTTAAGGTATATAGACGAATCTATAGATGAGAAATGTGTGGTTGATTTGGTTTTTCCTTTAGGTACTGTGGTAGATTCAGGTGATGGAGTCAGTCATGTGGTTCCTATATATGAAGGTTTTGCGCTTCCTCATGCTATTCTCAAGCTTGACTTAGCTGGACGAGATATTACCAATGCTTTGATGAAGATGTTGACAGAGAGAGGGTACGCAGTTGAGAGAGAGATAGCGAGAGACATCAAGGAGAAGCTTTCTTACGTGGCATTGGATTATGAGGAGGAGCTTGAGACAGCGAAATCAAGCTCAGAAATCAACAATAGCTACGAGCTTCCTGATGGTCAGGTGATTACGATTGGTGCAGAACGATTCCGCTGCGCAGAAGTCCTCTTTCAACCATCGCTTGTCGGGATGGAAGCACCAGGGATTCACGAGACAACTTATAACTCTATCATGAAATGTGATGTCGACATTAGAAATGACTTGTATCATAACATTGTGCTCAGTGGTGGCTCGACCGTGCTTCGGGGAATTAATGAACGGATGATCAAAGACATCATGGCATTGCAACATAGAAAAACGATGGTTAAGGTGGTTGCACCACCGGAGAGGAAGTACAGTGTTTGGATTGGGGGTTCTACGCTGGCTTCTTTAGCGACATTTCAAGAGGTATTGTAAGCTAATTACTTGTATTGATGTTTCCATGATTCACCCAATGTACATGATACTTGGTTTACCTTGTTTGCAAATGCAGATGTGGATATCAAAGGCAGAATATGAGGAATCAGGACCTGCCATTGTTCACAGTAAATGCTACTAGACAACTTCTTTATGTAGCTTCGGGGCTTGTTGATTGATGATGAAATTGGCTTAAGATGAATATCTTTGGTCTTGGCTTGTTTTAAGTTTTTTGCTCCTTTTATGTTTGTTCATGTGTGTTTGAGAAAAGGGCATTTAAGTGTGTAATTATGGAAAATAAATATTACTAGGTGATTACCCGCACTATGTGCGGAGTAAATATTAACCATAAATATTTTATTTGAATATGCAAATATAATATATATAAATACAACTATAAAAATGTTAGCTGATATTTATAATTGTATATATATATGATGATTATGCAATTGTAAATAATGATCAAAGTTATATTTATTTTATAATACAATTTCATAAATGCTAGATAATTATTGGTTTTATAATTAATTTCGAGTAGTATTTTTTATATAGATAAAATTACATATTAAATATACTAAATTAAATTAATATGTTCTATCTAACCGGTCAAACATCAGACTAAAATATTTTGCTTTGATATAAAAAAAATGAATTATAATATATTGAAAAAAATTAAATTTTTTATTATTAAATAGATAATATGATTATTTTTTAACAAAATTAAGATTAAAGAAAGATGAGATAATAAAATAATGTTTAGTAACATAAATAATATTATGCATTAAATTTTTATAAATATGTTGATAAAAAATAGAAAGAGAGAGAATATCTTACAAATTAAATGTTTGAGTATTAAATATATATTTGATATAAAATAATCTCTTACCAAATTAATATTAATGGTATATGATGTAATTAATCTAGTAAGTTGAGTCTAATTTCAAAAAAATTCTTGAAAAGCTCTATTAGATTGATACATCAGCATGACAAAGTTGTTAATAACACATGACATAAAGGTTTTTTCTTATGTGTCATTCTCAAATAATAATAGAAGATTAGATAGGTTATATATATATGGACCTTTCAAATAAATATATATGTAATCATTGTAAAATAAAGTTCTTGTGATTTTTTTTTTGGACAAATGTTCTTGTGACTTGTTTAATGCATATAAATTAGAAGGTTAAAATACATACTAAAATAGTAGTAAATAGTTGTAATATCATTATCATTATATAATTAAAAATGCAGCTATGACAATAAGAACATGCCTCAAATATAGTTGTAATATCATAATACTTTACACTAAGCATATATATTAAATTTGTGAATTATGCAAATATATAAAAATAATAGTATAAGAGAGTATATTAAAATAAAATAGAAGATAAAATAATATAAATGGTTGTTATGCATATATATTAAATTTGTGAATTATGCAAATACTTTACATTAAGCATATATATTAAATTTGTGAATTATGCAAATATATAAACATAGTAGTATAAGAGAACATCTTAAAATAGAAGATAAAATAATGTCAATGGTTGTTATGTATATATTAAATTTTTGAATTATGAAAATACTTTACATTATATATATATATATATATATTAAATTTGTGAATTATGAAAATATATAAAATAGTAGTATAAGATAATATCTTAAAATAGAAGATAAGATAATATCAATGGTTGTTATGGTCTAAAATGGCATAACTGTAATTATTTTAGTAATATGAAACCATTTTTAAAACAACTCTGAGAAGCTCTCTGAAGATGACACATCAGCATGGCAGACCTGTAAATCACACATGAACCCAATATCCTTTTTATATTTTCCTTGTAAAATAATAATAGAAGATTATATGTGTTGAATAAGTTGTTATAATGATGAGTGTGTTGAATAAGTTTTTGTAATAATAAATGTGTTTTGTATTGATTTTGTTAAATGTTGAGTTTGACTTCCCTTAAAAGTTAAAACCACTAAGTTGGGTAGATTGTTTCACAAAAGGTATTTTAGTCACAAGACCTTTGGTAAAGGAATTTAAAATTTTTGTCTTTCTTAAGTCATGGTTGATTTCGCTGCATTATCTTCACAATTGGACCCCTAACTAATACTCCCAGATTTTTTGTCTCATCACTACATAAGACAAACTCATGTTATTCCTCAATTTACATCATAAACTCTTAAAAATCTTCACATTTAGTAAAATCCGATAATTAGAAACAAAATCCGTTTAGAAACCTACAAATCGTCTTTTGTTCAAACGATTACGATCACCTGAGTTTGGTTATTAAGTGGGCAAAAACAAGAGAAAGAAAAAGTATAAGAAAAAGTATATAAAGTGTGACATCTCCACCCGCCTTCTATTTAGGAACCAGACGCGGACCGGTGATATTAATCCTAACTCTCCTCAACCGTTCCTCTCAGTGAGTTTAACGCCCTTTCTAGATCTGTGGGCCCAACGTCCTCTCTCTAGGTCCGTTGGTCCAACGTCCTTTCTCTAGCCCCGTTGGCCCAACGTCCTCTCTAGGCCCGTTGACCCACCACTGTCCGACGGTCCGGAGTCGTTAGTCCGGAAGGTTCGTAAGACTTGTCTACTGTCCCTGCAATCACCACATGATATTTCTCCGTGCTTTGTCTTCACTCGCACGGTACCGTAGAATACTTCCTGGTAAGTTATCCATCCTGAGATTATTCCAGCATTAGCATGCTTAACTCTGGAGTTCTCTCAACACACTTGACCGGAAAAGATAAGTGCACTTTGTTGACATAGGTAGCCAAATCAATTCTTACAACCCTTTCCATATACCGGAAATCGGGATGTTACATAAAACTTTATATTAGTTAGCAAGGAAATGCATGGATATTTTCAAATGTAAGAAAAACGGAAAATGTAACTCCGGTAATAGCGTAACGGCAGAGTATTCAAACGTTATGGCATAGCTCTTTAAAAAAAGCACAAATATTACCGAGTGCTACTCGAAAGGAATCGTCCATTCACTGAGAATTTAAGAGTCGGACAAAAAAGATTTATGTTTTAGAAAAAAAGAAGCCACCCGTATCTAAAAAGTGATGAACATTAACTGGCTTTATGTTTCTATTTGTCCAATTCATTTTGATATTAGTAGTATATAGGGCTGGAATTATTATCCGGTATCTGGTATCTGATCCGGTATCCGGTCCTATCCGATCCGTAAAAACCGAATATCCGTGAAGTTCGGATCCGGATCCGGATAGTGAAATTAAGTATTCGTTTATTTCGGATACGGATCCAGATAATAGAAAATTTTGAAACCGGATATCCGTTATCCGTTTGTTAAATATTTATTTATTTTTAATAATATTTATTCATTTTTAAAAACTAACTTTAGAATTTTTTTGGTTTAACTCCTTTACATATGATTGAAATTCATATTGTGTGATAAATTTCTATTTTAGATTATGAAACAAAAACATGAAAATGGATAACATATGATAAATTAACTTCTTTATTTGTATTTTTTTTTGTTACTTAAACTTTATGCTATTTGAATATTTTTTAAATTTTGCTATTTGTAACTTGATATGATGATATATTTTAATTATCTATGTTATCTCATTATAATTTTTAAAAATTAAAGATTTTTTTAAAATCAACAAAACCGAATATCCGGTCGGATATCCGTAAATATTCGGTTCAAACCGGATATCCGGAGACCGGATATCCGGAGTTTTCGGATCCGGATCCGGATAGTAAAACTGATTATCCGGTGAATCCGGATCCGGATCCGAATACATTGAAAAGTCCGGATATCCGGCTCCGTTCCAGGCCTAGTAGTATATACTATATACCATTAGAAATTAAGAAAAAAGGTTAGTTTGCTTGAGAAAAAAGCTTAAAAACCAATTGTATTAAATCATATTACAACATAACTTTAGGATTGTTACTAGTCTTTTATGGTATATTATTGGTTTTAGTTCATGTTATTTATTAGCTAATGAGTTTATATGTAAAAAATTTAGAAAGAAAATCATAAATCTATAGAGATTAAATTGTCTTTCGATTTTCTCTGTATACATTTAAGAAAAGAAGGATTTACTCTATCTTTTATATATATATATATATATATATATATATATTAATAATATTGAAAACTATGATGAACCACTATTTTACTTTTTCGTGTATAACTGTTATTTTTATGAAATTTTATTATTATATGGTTATGTTTTTTCAATTATTTTTTTTTTAAATTGTATCTTTCCGAACTACAAATGAACCGTTATCTTTCTAATAAATATTTTTAATTATATATTTTCATGTATAACTGTTAATTTTATGAAAAGTTATTATGGTTATGTCTTTTCATTTTATTCATTTTACATAACTAATGATTTTATGTAAAAGTTACAATGTTTAGTTATATCTATTTTGGTTAATATTTTCAATTATATCTTTCCATACATAACTGCTAATTTAATGAAAGGTTATAATTCTACGGTTGTATTTTTTTCGTTATATTTTATTAATTGTATCATTTCGTACATAACCACTGATTATCAAATGTTGTTTCTCTTAGTACTTATGTCTTTTCAAAATTGTATATATTTTGTTATATTCTTCATTATTTCTTTTATCAAAATATTTTTTTTTATAATGCTCTCTTATTTTGAAAAACAACACCTTATACATTAATTAATTGTTGAAAAACTTCAAATAAACTAAGAATTCCTTAAGAAAAACATAGTTTATTTGCAAGCAATTATTACAGAAATAGTGTTAAAAAAGACTTTTTAGTAGATGGTTAACCATCAATAAAGAAAAACTTGAAGTGAAGGGTGAAAGATCTACTTAGTCCCCGAAATTTTTTTTTGGAACAAAAGCCACACTGAGTGCTTTTACATTAATATTGGACAATACAATTCTTGATTCATAGGTCCTCGGTAAATGCCCTTTAAAAAACATATTAAAGCACTTTGATAATTAGTAAGTTAGTCATAGTTATAAGAAGACTTGGTATATATTACTTACTCCTTTGATAATTTCATAATATGGAGTGAAAAGGGCAAGTCCACCTTCCATAGGATGAAATTGTAACTTCTCTAAGGGGGTATGTAGACTCTTTCCCGAAGCAATGTAAACGTGAGGATCTTCTAGTGGTGGTGGTGTATAATGTGGTAGAGGCACCATTCTGGAACTTTGGTATGGAAAATGTCTTTCTAGAGGGAATCCTTTCTCTTGTATAAACTTCATACCTTTCACCAAACTATGCATGTAGCAATAATGACCCTTTGCATACATCTGATTTGCCATGATCAATCATTTACTCAGTATATACTGTGTTCTTTCCTCAATTATACCTCAATGCACTTACTAGCTCAGATTACATAACAGTCCAACATGAATCTACAAACAAACAAAAAAACTAGAAATAGTTTATAGCAAAATTACAAATTATTCAAAATTTTATGCACTTAATTGTGTAAGTCGATCTTATTGTGGGGTTCTTGGTCTCTAATTCGACCTCTCCAATCAAAGCCCTCCAATAATTCTGATACAACCTGAAACAGAACATAATCATAACAGTTATTAACCAATGACAGTAGACTCTTGTGTGAAATACAACAATATACATACATAATATAACTCCACTACATTGATACAAAGTAAATAAATACAACACCACATACACCTAATTTACGAAAACTATGAGGGAAAATGTGCTTTAATATTAGAATTTTATTTCTTTATATATATTTTTAAAATTAATCACAAGAATTATATGTATACTCTGTATAATTTGTGTCATCACAAGAATTATATGTATACTCAGATATCTCAATAGCCTAATATGTATTTAAAAAAGAAAAACTGAAAGGATGTATATTAAAATTACATTGGTCAAAAATTGTGCACTTAGTTTTGTAAGGTTATATAGTTGTAGGATCATTGATTTCTTATGTGATCCATCAAATATATTCAATCAAATGTCTGTAAGAATTCTAATAAAACTTGAAACAAAACCTTAGTCATAATCACTTATTAACTAATGACGATACATTTTTTATCAACCATTATCATGTTTTTTCAGCTAGCATATGATGTATTATTGATGTCAATTATACCATCGGGTTTTGATTGTATGATTGATTACATGGTCAAACTAAGAATCTGCCTGTAAGGCCTATAAATATATATATTTTGAGGTATAGTGAATGTAAACTGCAAATATGTATACACTTATTAAAATTAGTTACAAACAAATCTTTAACTATAGCTAATATTTGCGCTTATTGTAATAACAATCCCCCAAATATAAAAGATTAAGTGAATATTGCGAGACTTTACCAATCATATTGGAGAAAAGGTAAAAAGAGTTTATTTCAAAGAGAGAAAATTACATGTATTGTATACAAACACAGTCATGTGAAAGTTCAACCATTGTTAAAAGTGGAAATTTTTTATATCAATTTATTGTTGATGCTTACAATGGATAAGATCAAATCAGAAAACAATAACAGTTGATAAGTTGATTAGAGATGATAATGATCCAAGAAGTGTTGCAAAACATATTGTATTGGCATCATTCCATACGAGTAGTCCAAGATACATGGCTGAAAATATCAAGACGGTATGGCTATTTGTTGATGTTTTGGAAATCTTTATTTATAACAATGACTGCAAATTCCAAAATGTGTTGACATCTCTAAATTTTTTAGGTTTCACTGGTGACTTATCTGGTACTAGTAGGCCTGATATAGAAATTCGGATTTTTCATATTAAACTAAAACACTTAGTAATGTGTATTGAAAAAACAAACTTTTTGGCCCAACCAATGGATTAACATATTTTTAATCTTAAAGAAAATTTTATCCAACTATTAATTATTTGCAAGTTCTTAAATATGATAGGAAATATATTTCTTTTTTTGGGGTATTAACTATAGGTTTTTTATGTTGTTTAATTTACACCACCTTAATTTCTCAAATTTTTCTTTTTATTTAATTCTAAATTTTTACTTCTTACAATTCTATTATTTTTCTGTTGATTAATTTTTCATACATTTTTTTCTCCTATTAGTTGTTTATACAGTTGAATTCCAAAAACGTGGACTTCCTCATGCACAGATACTTGTTTAAAAATGGATTTTAAAAATCTATCAGTTTAAGATATTGATAAGTTTGTATCACAAGAATTACCAGACGTAGGTAATGATCCAGAAGAGTATCAATTGTTAGAACAACACATGATGCATGGTCCTTGTGGAATAGATCAACCTACAAATTTTTTTATAGAACATGGAGTTTGTAATAAAAGATATCCACGTGAATTTTGTTCTTCTTCAACTCTGTATAAAGATGGATATATAATCTATCGACAAAGAGATATAAGTTCAATATTTAACCAATCAGACTTGAGGAGAACCTTGATACTCAGGCTTCATTGCATCCTATGTCTCTTTTGATGTTGATGATGCCACAATGCGTGAGAATATTTGATCAGTCACAGCAGTTTGCAAAATTTGCAATGCCATCTGATGTGTTGCGTTTTTAACGTATTCTAACATGATTTTCCACGTTTCAAGACGGAGTTTGGAGACTTAGGAGTAAAAATGGCGAAAAGTGCAAAAAAAAAAAAATTGGAACGATTCAGCCAGCTAAAACGATCCAACCAGAAATTGCGAACATTTTCCAGCACGACCTATTCTGTAAGGCACGATCGATCTATGCTGAAACGATCGTTCCAGATATTTTACATTGATCGTTCCACCTCCCTAGAGAAGAAGAAAATTTTGATTTTTCCTGTTTCAGCCCAAATTCTTCTGATTTCGGCCCTGGACGATTTTTCCTGTTTCGGCCCTTTTGCATTTCTATTTATTGATAAAAAAATAATAATAATAATAAATTATATTAATATAATTTTTATTTTTTTATTAATAAAATAGAAATCCAAAAGGGTTCAGAAATCTTCTCAGAGATGTAGAGTCAGAGATTCGTCTCCCTAATCTTACAAATTGCCAAAAGCTCAAAAGTCTCAATAGAATAGAAAACGTGTCCAAAAAAGTGATAAAATATGTTAAAATAGGTCTGCAGTCGTCCAGGGCCGAAATCAGAAGAATTTGAGCCGAAACATGAAAAATCGAAATTTCCTTCTTCTCTGGGGAGGTGGAACGATCGATCTGAAATATCTGGAACGATCGTTCCAATCGTTCCAACATAGATCGATCGTGCCTTACAGAATTGGTCGTGCTGAAAAATGTTCACAATTTCTAGCTGGATCGTTCTAGCTGCCCGGATCGTTCCAATTTTTTTTTTTTTGCACTTTTGCTGTTTTTGCTCCTAAGACTCCAAACTCCGTCCAGAAACATTTTCTGACCTGAAATGACTCTAAAAAGACTAAAAGACTCGAAAAACACTGGAAAAGTCAGGTTAGAATGCGTTAAAAACGCAACACATCACTGTCATATCATTTGATGATGACAAATTTGAATTTTTTTCCTATATAATTTTATGCTCTTTTTCGAGATTTTAATATTCCATATCATGATAACTTTTTAAAAAACTTCTCATTGTAAAAATATATCTATCAACAATTGAGCTTTATCCATAAAATTGATCATGTTTTTTTTGATAAAATGTGAATATATTACCAAAAGGAACACGCGTTTAATTACAATGCTTTAGACAAAACCAGCAGCTTCAGGCCCAAAAAAAAAATAAAAGCCATAAAAACTAGGGCGGGAACAATATTACAAGATGCAGATGATCAGGCGTGGGTGAACCATTGAGAGAGAAGCTTCTCGCAGCCTCGTTTCCGGAGGCGGGCAAGAAGAGAGTCTCTCACGGTTTGGTCGATTTTCCTGAAAAGAGCCTCCACCGTTAAGGAAACCTGTGTGTGGATCCTGTTGTTGCGCTCATGCCAAAGGAGATAGATTATTGCCTGGGCAGCCAGACATTTCAGGGTTCTAGAGAACGATCTGGTTGGCGTCCTCATCCACTGGAGAAGAGTTAGCCAAGTAGTTAATATTGAGGGAGTAGCCTCAAAACGCTGTAGAACTCTGTCCCAGACCTGGAGCGAGAAAGGGCAGGCGAGGAAGATGTGGTGACGTGCTTCCGGAGAAAGGTTGCAGAGGACACAAACCTCAGAGACGTTGACTCCCCATTGTATCATCCGATCCTTGGTTGGTAGCCTGTTCAAGTTTGCAGTCCAGAAGTGGAAGGCATGACGTGGAGTAGCATGCTTGAACCAGACCGTTTTGAACCAGGTAACCATGGGAGCACTCGGCCTTAGGAAATCCCAGGTGCACTTAGTCGAGAATTGGTGGCGACGGGAACCTTCAATTCCCCATGAAAAGACATCAGGTCCGTTGCTTGTCTGTGGTGGGACAGTGGAAATGAGAGTATTTCGCAGGTCTCTAATTTCCAAGCTCCTCGATCTCGCATTAGGAAGGCGCCAGGTTCCGTCAGCAGCGACCGCATGAGAAACACGCGCGCCGATGGGAATACCAAGTTTCCGGGGCCCCGCATGGCCAATGTAGTCAATTAACGGACCAAGAGCCAACCAGTTGTCACACCAGTAGCTCGCAGAGCATCCATCGCCAATTTCGCAGCCAATCAGAAGCTTGGCGAGAGGTCGGAGGCCAAACGCAGGTTGAGATGTTTATCTTCAAAATTGATCATGTTGATTATAATCGTTGTTTATCTTCTTCTTAATTTCAATCGTATGGATGTTGTTGGAGATAAATTTGATTCTTCCTATGTGGACGAATCACGTGCTAGCATGTGGTATCCATGGCTTTTTTGCAGGTACAACCCCCCCCCCCCGGGCCAAATTAGGGCTGATATTAGGCCTCCGGCCCAATACGGCCTAAGCTTATAGCACCAGGCCTCGAATCCAGTTGGATTCGGGAGATCAGGCATGATTGGCCACCTTTTCCTTGGATTACTCGTGCCTGATAGCGCAGGCCACGTTGTAAGAACAAGGAAGTCAGGAACTGAGTGGTCAGAAGGAGTAGAGTTCACATTCTTTATGTCCTAGACCTAAGCTCAGTGATCCGAAAGATCGGGATATAAAGAAGAGTGGCCCGCACAGGTACCCGGAGAGCGAAGTCATTAACTCCCGACAGTCCAGTCTCAGTATCGAGGGATCCGGGCCATGTATGAATAATCCATTTGGGCGGGAATACTATTCAAATTTCCTTCGAATCGACAATAGTAATATGCCTTGGTCTGATTTGATTGCTCATATTTTTACAAACCCGCAGAAGTGGCATTTAATGCGTTTCCTTGTGTGTGTCAGGTGAAAACGACTTTTCGCAGGAGCCAGGGGAAAAAGTAGAGGTTCAGTAAAGAGTTATACCACATCTGAGCTGCCGACCCAACTCGTACACTGAGAGTGAAATAGACACGCCAAGAGACGGTCTCGTTGCAGGCAGAACGCACTAATGAAAGTTGGTGAGACCATCAGAGGAATGATGCCATCACACGATTCGAGTCCAGTCAAGTCAGGTCATGGGCCGATCCACCTTAACCACAATCTATGGGCCAACCCAGTATACTAATCAGAGTCAGGTAATTCCTTATAAATACATTATTCTTCCCAACGGGGAGGGGGTTCACATTCTTAAGCTATTTTAAATCTCACGATATCTCTCTAGATACTTGTGGTTCTTAAGCTCAGGCATCCTACACGATTCAAACCATTTCTCCGATCATCTTTTTGATCATCTCTATTCAGTTCACCTCCAGGGCGGTTCATAAACTGTGGAGCTTCTTCACTCTCAGACTTTTCTTCTCTCTCTTTTCACTGCAAAAACCCCATTCACACTCAAAGATCCGAGTAGATTGTGCCTTTCTCAAGGACTCTCGATCCACCTTCCTTCACAAAGTTTTCCGATCTCTTTCTGCTCTCCGACAGCTATATTGTGGTTTTTGTTGAGCTGTTTTCTGACTTGAGCATCAGAGTGCCTTCGGAAAACACACCCCCATCGTGTTTTTTGGGCCCTGACATATTTTCTGTTTTGGAGGAGACTTGCCCCAGTGGTGGACTAAAAATCCTTGTATATGTTTAGGTACATTGTTACATTAATTGTAAACTATTAACTAAATAAAAATGTTTTTTAATTTCTTTGTATAGTTTCATTCATTTTTGTATTTTTTAATTTTTGAAAATTATATTTATTTATTTTTTTATAATAGTAGTTATTTTTCAAAAATTTTTATTATATATATAATTATTTATAAATATTTTAAATAATTAAAATATTTAAAATATTTTATTTCTTCTGCGATTTCGCAGAAGCTCGAGACCTAATATATATATAAAAGTTAATATATCTATATTTTCTAATTTAAATGAAAAAGAGGACATTCAATTTTTTTTTTGTTATTTGATTCATGACAATTTTTTTTCTTTCAGAATTCAAGCTTTACTGGATATAAAACTATAAGAGGAGAAAGATTAAATCAACTTTTTTTAGATATGCAATCAATAAATTTAGTCCCAATTGGTGTTTTCTATTTTATTTGGTACACACTTTCATGAATATATATATATATATATATGTTAAAGAACATTAATAATATAGTTTTCAAGTTGTATTTTCTAATATTCATTTGGCACAAAAAGTTTTAAAAAACATAATTACATTTTTTAAGATTATTTTATTTTAAATAGAAAAAAAACGAGTTGATGAGGTAGCATTTGGTTGGAAGGACTCAATATTCTATAAATCTCTCTTTAGTCTTTCATTGTCACACTGAAGTTTGAACCCTCTTTGTTAGAAAATATGAAACTCTCAAGTTGTCGGAGGATAATGTTATTCTTGTTGGGTTAGACCTTCTGTATTGATGAGATGATGAGTCTAGATTATCGCTTTGTGGATAAGCAAACATTGCAAAGCTTCAACGATTTAGAAATTGAAGAGGAACTTCAAGTCAACAACAAACCTGCTGCTAAAATCTTTAAAGTCAGTTTTAATTTCAGGATAAACATTTTTTTAGCCTACCTATTAATCAACTTTATTTGTAGAAATGAATGCAAATTCTTACGGATGCTAGACGCATAGTCATATGAAGTGAAAAAAAATCTTCTAATCTCTTTTGTTTCTGGATGCTAGACTATTCATGGTGATACATATGGATGTGTCGATTTTTATTAAAAAAAACCAGCGTCTGACCATCCGTCGATGGAAAATCATATATTCCATTACGAGGTATGTATTGTATTGTTTCTGTTTACTGTTTTATTTTATAACAACTTGTAACCATTTATTTTTGCTTTATATTATTTTGAAATTTTCAATTTGCTATGCATTATTTTTGTTGTCAACTCTTTATGCGTAGTTTCTTATATTTAACTATCTCTATGAGACTAAATTAGTATTTGCAAATGCATTGTAGAACAAAAATTTAGAGATATTTTATACTCCTCTGTCCCATAACATAAGATGTTGAAGACTATTTTTGTTTCAGTTTATAAGATGTTTAGAAGTTTGTATGCAAGTTTGAATGTAATTTGATACTTTTAAGTCTTTAAATTATATTCTGTAATTTTTTCAAGATTAGCTGAATTACATATGTTTTTTAACTAATAATTAAATTATGTTTTGTTTTAAAAACTCTTATATATTTTGGAACAGAGAGAATAACCTTGCTTGGCGTTGGCTTTTATGGCTGTTAAACCAATTTTACAGTTTAAAAAGTTATATTTTTGCCAAACACACTTTTATTTCATTGATTACTTTTAAAGTTTTAAAAGCCAAACTTTTGATATTGGTCATTAATTCTAAAAACTAAGTGGGAGAGTAGCTTTTAGAAAAAACTCTAACAAAAATAAATATATTTAATATCTTTATCTATTTATTCTCCTCCCAGAATTATTCAAATAATTTTATAGATATATATATAAATAATTCCAAATTAAATTTAATTGATTAAATCTTAAAAAAAATTTTGCTTTCTTTTGAGATTCATTTCTTAAAGTAAAAATTTAAAATTTTGTAAATGAAAAGTTAGCAGTTAATTTCTACAGTTTTTAAGATCTATTTATACCAAACATTTTTTTTTAATTTTTTAAGTAACAGCAAAAGTTTTTACAGCAAAAATTTTTAAAGTTAAAAATCTACAGTAAAAATTAGAAATAAAAGTTCTTACCAAGCAGGCCAGTGTTATTTATTAATCTCTGCTTATTCACAGAAAACTAATACGACAAATAGAGAGAAAATTAAATATATGTAAACTCGATCATTATTTCAATCACTAATACAAAATTTATTTACTTGTCATTGTAGACGCTTGAGACATCATCTCTGAAGGGTTCAAGATCAAGAAAAAATAATAAGAAATTTGGTTACTTGTGGGAAAATGGTATTGGGTGTCTTATCGGTACCGTATCAATCAATCTAATGCTAAAACTGACCAACATCATGAAAGTATTTGATTCTTTTTTATTTTTCCAAACAATTTTGATAGTGATTAGTTTTCTGTGTCCCGTACCAAAGAAGGACAAGGCAAAACTTACAATGGAGCATCAATGATCATTACTAATAACGATCCTAAAGTTAGATCTGAGAAACAGTTCAGCTCTTCTTTTTTTTTTTTTTCTGTTGACGTCAAACAGCTCAGGTCTTCTCGTATGCACGTTCAGATTAAAGAAGAATTTATGCAAACTGGTTGGACTGTAAGTTTATTGTCATATCTTATAATCGATTCGAGTTATGCTTCTTGTGGCCTACATAATAAAAAAAAATTCATGATAAGTATATATCTTTATAACTATTTAAAAATGAAAATACATAAGCAAACTTTCAAAGTTTTTGTTCAAAACTTAGAGCATCTGAATCTATGAATCTCTCAAAAAAGTCTTTCAACAAAGAAATGTTAGTATTTTCTTAGAATTATTTTTATTAATTTTTAATTTAAAAAGATAATTGAACTATGAAACTTTTATTAATAAAGTTGAGCCGATTTTAAAATTTCAAAGATTTTTGACTATTTTAAAAAATTAAGCAATAATTTTTTTTTAATCAGTCTTACGATGAAAAATTAGAGAATTGCCTAGAAACGCCACCTAATACCTAGTTGCGGCGGTCATCTATTGCCTAGCGCATAGGTGGCCAACTAACCAGCTAAGTGGCCGATTTTTTTTAACATAGATTAATAGTACTCATTTCATCCTCTCCTTTTTTTTTAGATTTAAAGATTACTACATCGCTACTTTAAATTTCTAATAATAGCACAATTTCAAAATCTAAAGACTAAAAAGTTTTTCCTAAAAAGGAAAAATTGAACTCGTAATGAAGAATAAGGCATCCAAACATTGGGTTCGAATGGTGACGGCGTATTTGATTGTGCGAGAAAAACGATTTTAGAGTGCGGTACGGTTCAACTGCGATACGTGCAGGAGAAATATATTTACGGAAAAAGTACATTAGTAGAATAAGCGGTATAAAATAATATTTAATTAATAAAAATATAAGATGCGATAAACATAAACTAATTATTTTTAATATTTGGAATTATCAAAACATCCATTGCTTATAAAAATGCATAAAAAGATAAGATTTTTAAAAGATTTTGGTTTCAATTTTTTTATAAACAAAAACAAAAACAAAAACCACAATTGAAACACACCAAAAATACAACTTTTCAAAACCGCATAATTTTAATCACTTTATGGACCGTATTTAACACTATCTAAAAATTTTAATATAATTTTGTAACAAACTGAAAAACGCTGTATATGTATCATAATATGATGAATGGAAGCAAAATAGCGGTTTTGCAAAAACCGTACCGCATTTTATTGCCATTATCTCTTATATTTAGATTTAAATGTATTCCGTGTAAACAAATATTTTCACATAATTATTTGTGTTATTTTCGAATTTTAAATTTGTGGTGATAACTAATGTTTGTGCTATTTTAAAGTATTTCTCTACTTTTGTAAAGACATTTACCATAAATATGTTTACATTTTGAGGTTCATCCAAACTTGTATTCGGACTGGAAAATAAGGAATTTTGTGTATACGAAAGTATGTTTATTATTATCTATGTATGTCCAACTATATTATTAACTATTGCATCATAATTTTTTTAATTTTTATAGATGTACGTTAGCCATAACGATTTATATTTAATGTTACAGTCAAGTAAAACTCAATGTTATAACAACATGTGTCCATCTGGGATCGTATGTGTCCATTCTGATTTTCCTTTTGATGTTGTTCACGAATCCTCTTGTGTTCGTTGTTCTGAAGAAATTATATACAGTATATATGCCTTACTCAAGGTTTGCTAATTATTAGTATCTTGTTTTTGTCTAAGTTTACAAGATTCTTTTTTTAATTAATCTATACGTTTATAACTAAATAAGCTTATACATAATACTAATAATCTGTTTTTGTTTTGATGTAACTATTGATCAAATGACAAGGGATTTTTTGGTAACTGGTGGTTCGAGTTTATGGGGGAAAAAATCGAGTTTTGGCCAGCAAGTAGATTTCCACAGAGCTTGGTCAACGATGTCGAGTGGAGAGGGGATGTATATAATGCATCTATGCCAAGTCCTCAAATGTGAAACGGTTATTTTCCGGTACAGCATCCATTTTACGATGCAATTATCGATAATAACTATAGTCGACGAGAATTTAAAATAAATGATTGGATAAAGAACACAGAACCGTTCTCAGATAATACTCGTGATTATAGAGTCGAAGATGACATATATTCCCAATTTGGGTCCAAATTGATGGTACATTTGGAGGTCCTGAGAATCTAAAAGAGAGAAGATAATTTTGTTTTAAAAAAAAAAAATAATAAATAAACTGTTCACCTTCGTTGTTTTTAATTTGTTTGGTGTTTGTGTATGTGTATATATCGCCAACATCTTCTACACGAGAAAACATGGCAAAAGAAGATGTGATTTCACTAGTCATATATTCCATCATTACTTATGAAGATATTACAAATGGCAAAAGCAAATGTGCTTATTAAACTACTTGATCATGAGGGCATGCATAGTCTTTTTTATATATAAGTGATAAAATTTATTTACTCTCCATATGAAATTGTAAGTGCATATATTCTCAGATAGTAGAACTCAGCTATAGTTAGAGCCATGCATGCTTTTGTGAAATCCAAGGCCAATGAAAAAACTGAAACATTTTTTTAAAAAGTTGTAGTAATAATGATGGTGTCAAAATGAGATAAAGAATCTCGTAACAATTAAAAATTTCAACAAAAAATAGTAGTTATTTTTTTCATCTAATAATATAACATCAAATTCTAGATTTTTTCAAAAATCGTTAATCAAAGGAAAATTGCATCAAATAACCAACAAAAAAATTATAATTAACTATATAACCATATTTTTAATATGGTTAGACTATTCTGTATATTTTATATAATATGACAATGTTTACCCTTAACCAATCACAACCACTTATCTCTTCCCTTTTTCATATTTCTTTCTCTTCTTTACTTTATTTTTTTTATTTCCTTCTTATCTCTTTGAATCTTTAAATATAAAATTAATTTAAATTTGTGATATCACTAGAAAAAATATAGATTTTTCCAGGTATATTCTATAGTTTGAATTTTTATAAACGGACAAATTGTTTTTAAAAAAATATATATATACATCTAAGGAATAACAAAAAAATCTTATATACATGGACACTATAATGGAATAGTATTGAAGACATTCTATATTTTAATGTATATATAGAACGTCTATTTTTTGTAATTTTATTTCTGACAACAAATTAGATAAAAATGACAATATGTATAGAATATCTATATGAAATATCTCACTATATTTTTTCCTTTATAGTATTCATCTCTTTTCCCCGTCTATTATACTTATCAAATACTATTATATAATTTTTTTGTAACCAATATTATCTGTAATTTGTATTTCAAAATTTGATATGTAATATAGTTTAAAAAGTAGTCTATATAAAACGCATAGATTGTCTACACTAACTTACGTATATTATATTCTACGTGCGACAAAGTTTTCTCTAGACCACTATATTTAAATAAAACGTTTATTTTTTTATTGAAAGGCAATCTTGAAGTTGTATAAAATCATCTATATATTTTGTATAGAACGTTTATGTTGTATAAAAGTTCTATTTTGTATAAAACATTCTATGATAGTTTGCCTTAAATATTTATAAGAGCATTTTTGTCCTAATAGCATTCAAAGTGTTACTTGCTTAATTATGACAATTGCATGAATATTTTCTTTTCTGGTTATCAAAATTAGTTATTAATTTAATTATCCGTTAATCAAATGATATAATAGTTTTCAACTTATTTATTTGTTGATATCAAGCAAAGTCTACAAAAAAACAATTTTCAAATTATTTACAGAATTTCAATGATTTTATTATAGTCTGAAAGTAACTACACTATAATGTGTACGAAAATTTCGAATAAATAGATTTAAAATTGAGTTTTTTTTCTTGTAGTATTTTATAATTTTCCAATTTTTCTATGTAGTTCTAGTTATTCAGCCTTAAATATTTTTTTTCTTTTTGCAACTGGTAAACTCGTTACATTTCGGTCTTAATTTGTTTTATTAAACTTAATTTTATTTCAATTTATTCAATCTTATTTGCTTAGAGTAGACTGCTTCTCTGACATGAAATTAAAATATACATATATGTTACTCTTTTTTCGACGCCGGATATCTCCATATCAATAGATAGATAGTCATCATGAATCATTATTACTCTTTTTTCGACGGCGGATATCTCCATATCAATCGCAGGATATCCAGTATTTCATTGAGACAGATAGTCATCATGAATCACTATACTGCACATAATAATTAATCTAATCTATTATCCCAAAACAAAAAAAAAACATTTACGTATGGTTACTTTAATTGACAAATGGCAATACATTATAAGTCATTTAACAATTTTACGTATGGTTTAACTTGTTTCTTCCCAGCATTACTCTTCGAGATCCCTACTTCCCTCCAAAGTTATGTTGTATGCGTTGGGAATCGGAATCTATTGGAGATTAAAAAACACAATATTAAGCGTTTAGCTTTATAAACCGATTCCATTTCAGTTTCAGTTCCATATTCAAAGTAAACCTTATTGATATGGTGAGTGCTTCTTCAAATAGTCATTCGCTAAAGAAACAACGGCTAGAGGATGAAACTCGATGTGCTACCTTGCTGGATCGAACTGTTCTTGACTGTCCAATTTGCTGGGAGCCATTGGTCATTCCCATCTTTCAGGTTAGATTGTGTTTTATCGGTTTTATTCAGATTCATTTTGTTGGACTAAACTATGGACTGATAAGATTAATACTGATGTTAACCATGGTCATTTCACTTGTGGTCGTTTTTGTTACAGATCTTAGAAATTTTGGTAGGTGTTAAAGATTTAGTTTAATAATTCTCTCTTCTTCATAATTTTTTTTTTAACTTTATGGCTGATTTGAGATTATATAGCTCAAAAACAATTTAGAGTAATTTACCTAGAATGTTTTTCATATTCTTCTTCTTGTAATTTTTTTGTTTGCCATATTCTTGTAATTTGATAGCTGCATGTTGAGGAAATTTTGTAAGCAATTATTTATGTTTATTCTTATGTGATTCTTATGTGATTACATCCGATTTTCAATTTAATCTTTTCTTTTTCTTCATGTTCATCCTATTAGAAGTTTGATAGCTGCAGGTTTAGATGTTTTTATAAGCTTTGATTTGTGCTTACTCATGTAACTACATCCGATTTGATATGTTTTCTTTTTTAACTCTTTGGTTGTGAATTTCAGTGTGATAATGGCCATTTAGCATGCCATACTTGCTTTCCAAAACTCAAAAATAAATGTCCTGTATGTGCTATCCCCATTGGTAACAATCGTAACAGAGCAATGGAGAAAGTTCTTGAATCAACTATTGTCCCATGCCCAAACACTCAGTTAGGTTGCACCGAGAATGTTCCTTACGGGAGAGAATCAAATCACGAGAAGGACTACTGCAAATTCTCTCTATGTTCTTGCCCTGATGAAACCAATGAATGCAATTACACCGGCTATTACGATGACACTTGGCTTCACTATCTTGCTTGCCATTTATTAAACCCCTATTGTTTCTTCGCTTTTGGTCTACCCAGTGAGGTGCAGATGCACATAAGTGAAAAGATTCTGGTTCGTTCGACACTTGAAGAGAAGGTTTTGTTTGTGGTGCAGTGTTTTAGGGAGCCAAATGGTGTTTATGTAACTGTGAAATGTATTGCACCATTGGCTCCAGAAGTAAGGAAGTACTCATATCGAATCTCTTACACGTCCAACGGACACACTCATACTCATGAATCGGCAGAGATGAAGAGGATTCGTAAAGTGAGTTTCCAAATCCCTCAAGAGAAGAACTTCTTGTTTATTTCAAACAGTGTATTGCGAGGTGAAAAAGTGTTGAACATGGAGATTTGCATATCGGAAGTCGGACAAAGGGTAATATAATTTTCTTCTTACTTCTGGTTCTTGGACTACTTGTAGGTTCTGGTTTTGATATGGTTTTAGATGAGAACGCTGTTGGTTTTAGTGTGTTCCTACTGTTTGTTGCTGCTGACTTGGTGTGGTTTTTCATTCATTGTTGCTGCTAGTTTTGGTTCTTGCTTGGTATGGATTGGTATCTGATTGTTTTTCTTGATAGTTTCCTTGGTTCCAGGCTGGTTCATCATCTCAAATGGCACACTCTCCACCAACAGAAACAAGCTAGGAATGCTCATTCGATAAAGTTGGAGACTATGTTTAGCTTATGTCTTTTGACTATATGTATTTTGGGTAATATCGAATGAGAAACATTGTCTTTTGTCTTTTGAATGTATGTGTTTGACTTGAAGTGTAAAACTCAAACTTGTAGAAGCTATTATGAAAGCCATTTTGGTCTTTTTGTGGCTATGTTTAAGTTAAATGCAATCTTCTCTTATGAATTCTCCAATTTCCTCAATATTTGGAGCTGTTTCAGTATTTGTTCAAAACGGATCAAGAAAAAGAGTCACATTTCGTTTGTGCTGGTGGATTCCAACAACATAATTAATGATGCCACGAAGACATAGACTAGAGTTTGTAGGTAATAATCAAAGCTATGCTTGATTAAGAAGTTATAACTAAAAACAGAAAAGAAAAAAAAAAAAAAAAAACTCTGACTACGTATCATTGATTTCAACTTTGCAGTGCCAGTTTTTCTTAAAAGTGGTGGTCCTTCTTCTTCCATTTTTAGTATTTAATCTTTTCTTAAATTCTCACATTGAGATTTTGACACTTAAAAGCCATGAACGTTGACCAACAGAAACTCTCTCTTCCTCACAAGAAATTGGTGTGTAGTACTCTGACACTCACCTTCTCAAAAAGCTGACAAGATCGAGATTTCTCTGTGGCCACCAGAATCTTTGTCTCTCTCCATATTTTATGTATACATGTATCTATATCTCTTCCTTCTCTTTTTATACCAAACTTTTGTTTTTCTTTAGAGTCCAAAGACATAAGAGAAAGAAGCTAAAGGAAAGATCAAATGGAGAAATCAAGAATGCCAAGAAACGTATATGAAACTTTAAAGGTACTCCTCTGTTTGCCTTGAAGACCCAAATATTGTTCTGTTTCAAATCTTTTTTAATTTTGTGCTTTTTATGTAACAGACATATTTCCTCAAGGTTAACATCAACTGCCAAGGATGTAAAAATAGAGTGAAGAAAACACTTAGAAAAGTTGAAGGTGAGATCTTAAGATTTATCTTGTCTGTTGGTTCAATAACTGTCTCTTATGTGTTCGTTTTCCATGGTTCTTTGGTTTCAGGTGTTTACTCTGTTGACATAGACACAGATCAGCAAGCAGTGATCGTTAGAGGGAACTTAGATCCAGAGATTTTGGTCAAGAAGTTGAACAGAAGAGGAAAGCATGCAGAGCTCTTGTTCTTCAGCCTTAACCATAAGGACCAGTTTGGTAATCATCAACCTGGTCTTAACCATGACAACAGAAGCTTGAGGAACACACAATACAATTTTGGAAGCAATCACTTGAACAATGTCCCAAGTTATGAAAGGCAGAGTCTTAATCATCCTAGTGACGAAGAGATGATGATGATGATGATGGCGAACAACATGAAGCCTGTGATGATGAACGATGCTGATTACTTTCAGATGAGCAATTCACCTGAAGATTTCCAAGAGATATTTGGTGAAGTACCACGAAGACACAACTATGAAGAGATGAATCAAAATCTGATGAGGGACATGGAGCTTGGATATTCTAACGCATACCCTGCAGCAGAAACAATGAATATGCAGGTTGGAGGAAGATCAGATAATATAATGATGATGAATGAGAGAGGTTTCCGAGGTCAGATGATGAATGGTGCATCTCCAAATCCTCCGTTTATCAATCAGGAACAATTCAGCTCAAGGCAACTTAATGGGTTTTACTACTGATTGAAGAAGTTAGTAACGTTAGCTTAACTAGCGATATGTGTCATTACTTGGTTTTACTTCAAGCATAATAGACTATTAGTATAGCTATTTTGTTTCAGTGTTGGTTAAGTGTGGGGAAGAACAAACCCTGTTACTACATTAGCTAAAAACCATACTCTAGTGGTAACAATCTCAAATCTAAATCATAAGCAGACAGGTCAACTGAGTCAATGTTCCTATATCATCATATTCTCTTAACAACACCAATTATTGCAATTCCTATGGCTATGGCCTACGGGTCTTATTTTGTTCGTTGGTCTAGTGGGAACATCAAAGAAAAGGGTTCCTCTGGTAAGACTTAGTGCAAATGTAGCTTCTCTGCTATCTTGTTATGCAAAAGTTACCACATTCAATGTCCGTGAATCATGAAAACAAGTTTTCTGTTGTCACAAGTAATCAGGCAAAAGATTGTCAGATCTACTAAGCAATTTTAAGAAGGATAAGTGGAAGCAGAACAGAGGAGAAGCTTGTAGAGTTAGATGGTGATTTGCTTCCACGGCAGGACTTGGATGGATCATTACTTAAAGCTATGTGCTCTTTTGTTCAGAGGCAATGTTGTGATAATAACCACGTGAATCCGCAGAACAGGGTTGCAAGAAATTGCACACAAAGAAGATATTGCAAACAAAGACAGAAGAGCAGAACTAGAATCAAGGCAAGAATGCATATCATTGTATCCTCTTACTCTAAAGTCTGAACTGTTTATATGCACAAAAGAATCGTGCAACATAATCATTGTATCCCCATTACAGAGATCTCAACTAACTTACCCCCCATTTCTATGTTTTCTTATTTTAAATAGAATATTGTTACATTTTCACCTTCTTCAGCTGTATCTCTCAGCTTTCAGTTCGACATTTGGTTTGCGAATCTCATCCTGGCTTTGTATTAATCTAATCTCCAAACTGCTTGAGGTGGGATCATACCCAGCTCGTTTGTAATCATCAAGTGTCCTTCGCAGAAGGACCTGCTCACCATAACAGAGAGTTATTCAATCCTTAGTTTCAGTAACAATAAGCACACACAAAAAACAAACAGTACAGAAGCTACTATATAGTAGCTTTTTACAAGCTTAGAAGCTTACCTGCAACGTTGAAACTGCAAGCTCGGCTGCCTTGTCAAGATTGTCAGGGTATTTCTGGATATTACAATTATAAAACAAGAAACGTCAAAACGTATATGGAAGATCGATAGAGATTATTTAGCTTTCATATGAAAATGAAGAGGCATTACATTACTCCAGCCGAGTAGAAGTGCAGTCATGAGATCTCCTGTTCCCTGCAAGTGGTGTTTAAGAAAGTGAATCAACTTCAGCATTTCAAATCTGTCGGAACCACTGGAACAAAACTTAAGCTAGTTTAATGATAATATATGAATGTGTTGAGGCAATGAAGTGCATACCGTAAAATACGCAGGAATTTTGTGTATTAAAATCTTGAATTGCTCAGGCTTTAGACCCTGAGGTTTAAACAATAAGATCAGTTTACTCGAAAGCCACTCTTCTTTTTTCTTAATTAAAAGATACCAAGGTTGCCAAAAGCTGGATGTTGTTACAGAAATCTACCTTCTCTTTCTGATGGCTTCCAATAAGCAATAGAATGCCTCCTATAGTAATGCTAGTGATCACCACCTGCCAAACATTAAAATCATCGATTTTTATAGAAACAACGAAGCTAATCTTTCACGCTATGCAAAGAAGCTTCTCAACCCTTTAAAGATGGATATAACCAGCACTAAGTTATATGGAAACCTATTTAGGAAGGGTCTGTTGAATGGAATTAGTAGAGAAACGACTTTGAAAGTTTATGAAACAAACCTTTGAAGGACCAGCTGCATGAAGAATCGCACAAGCTTCCCTGCCATCTTCCTCAGAATTTATCCTGTAATGTTCTAAAAACATGATGTTTTCGAGGCAGGACAAGAGAAAAAAATCTAGAGTAGGGAATCCTCCAAGTCTTGTAATAAGATAATGATCAGGTAACTCAATCAAAAAGCTAAAACATCATTATCATGAAAGCATGAACGTCATAGGTGCATAAACTGATGAAAGGCACAAACTAGAGATCCATCATCCATGACAACCACTTCAAACACAATCCCATTCATGATAGCTCGTGAGCTAAAGAAAGCAAGTTTTGCGTCTAATCAAGTACCTTAGTCCTGTTAATTTTTCTGCCTCAAACTGGTTAGGAGTCAACATAGAAGCCAGGGGAACAACCTAAATAGAAAAATTGCGCTCAACTAAGAAAAGGGTCATACATAAACAGCGTTATCAACTGATCAAACTAAAAGTACACAACCACTTATTTCTTTGAGTCGCGTTTACCTTTTCACGATAAACCTGTACCAACTCTTCAGGCACATACAACTTCCCTTCATCACCCATCACCGGATCACATACTAAACAAGAATAGACTAACATTAGCGTAATACTACCACTTAAGAATGATGGTCACATAACGAATACTGCATTCCAGCACTCCAGTTTTCAAACACTACAGAGATAGAGCCTAACTATATCTTTGTTCCGATACATCCTAGTTATCCAGAACATAGAAAAATATAATGAACAACAAAGAGAAACAATATGGTATCACAAAGCACTCACCATACGTAAGATTCGGGTTTACAGAGCGAAGCTTATTGATAACCTCCAAAATAGTATTCAGAAATGACACTGATCCAATATAACCTGGATTTTAAAAACATAATTAATAAAAGGGCTAAACATAAAGCTGTGCTGCTTTGAGGCTGGTGTTCATAGTGAGCTGAAAATTGTTAGTTTGTTACCTGTTAATAAATGAGTGTAGAACAATAAATCGTTCGATTCAAGACCTTCAATCAAATCCCACAACTGTTCACCATTCAAAACCTGTCCTTTGAATGTAGGATACCCTGGAAAAAATGTTTTTAGAATAGCCAAAATCAGTAGATTCTCATACACCTACGATGAGACGTAATCCTGAAGTTTTTCAATCAATTGTTAAAAATTTCTCACAGGCTCTATACATTAATCTTACCTGTATGGTTTGAGAACTGTACTGAGTTTATTGGATCTACATCATACCCCAACAATTGAAGAGGAAAGACAGCTGATTTGTTACCAACATAGCCCTAAGAAAAGCAAAAATACATAAAACAACCATATTCACTCTTAGAGAAAGTTCCTGACTTTAGTTGCTAAGGATAAATACGAGATCATCACCCTCACAAATTGGTAATTAAAGGAACAGAGTATATACTAGTTCTACACATCATGCTCTTCCCTTCAATTAAACAAATTTTAAGACATTTTTTTTCAAGTCTAAAGGTAGAATCTTAAATCTTGTAATAAACATATTCAAGGTGAATCAGCACACCATATTATTGACTCAAATGCAGAAGGAAACAACAAATTTTTATGTAATCCTGACTTTAGTTGCTAACGATAAACACGAGATCATCATCTTCACTAATCGGTAATTAAAGAAACAGAGTATACAATATTTCTACAAATCAAGTTCTTCCCTTAAACTAAGCAAATTCTAACCTTTACTATTAAACAAATCCTAAACTTTTTTGTCAAGTCTAAACGTAGAATCTTAAAGCTTGTAATGAACATATTCAAGGTGAATCAGCACACGATCTTATTGATTAAGGAAATAACAAAATTTTATGTAAAAAATAACAACAAAAAAAACCCATAAAAATCAAGCAAGCAGATTTTTATATACAAGGAAAAGATCAAAACTTTCTCAAGAATTTTAATCCAAATCGTTATACAAAGAAAAATTCCAGAAATAAGGGATATAAAAGTCTGATAAAGGAAAAAAGGAAAAAACCTGAACAGTGTGAGATTGGATACTAAGAACTCGACCAGTATCTGAAGGAAGAGCGAGCGAGAGAACAGGAGGCGTCGTCATTCTCGAATTTCTCGATCTTCACCAATCAAATTAAACAATACCTCAATTGGAATTTAAATAAACATAAAAAAAACGAAAAGTTGATATCTAAGATTAACCTGAGATTTGGAAATTGGTTACGATATCTAAGATGTGGTGGTTGTCAGAGAGAAAGGCATAAAGAGCTGACCTTTAAGATAGAGCGTCTTCTGTTGACCAGCGGGAAGTCGGAACTACAAGACTTGTAAGAAATCTGTGTTTAAAACCGGGTCAAACCGGCTAGTTGAACCGGTTTAGTAAGAACCAGATGATTATTCGGTTTTAGACTTTGGAGTACCACAACACAGTTTAATAAAATTACTTCTAGATCTCATCGATCTTAGGTTTTTTTAAGTACATCTTTATGATCAAAATATGAATATTATTAGATACGAAAAATCTGAACTGGCTAGAAGTTTTGATTTTGCTGAAGACTACATGTATAAAGATGCATTTTTATTTCTGATCAAAAGGTTCTTTTAAACCCGAGACCAAAACATGTGCCACTCGATTTTGCGACCGGAAAAATTTGATATATTTCAAGTCGAATTAATGATATTTGGTAATAAGCTTTGAATAAGTTGTAGACAAGAGTATTGCAACTTCAAACACTTATCTTTTGTATCATATATAGTGTGATTGGTAATTCTCCAAGTTTTCTACCATCCAAAGAAGTTACCAATCAATAATATATTTTTCCTTAGGGACACGAGAAGGCAAAAAATAACATATTTACACTTAGCTATTTTATATTAATTCTTAACACTTTGTCGAGTTGGAACATCAAAATCTCGTCGACCTAACTGTTTGATGAAAACAGTAAGAATCTCGTACTAAGAAACATGGGATTGTCGGTTAGGTTCAAACTGTATTTTATCCCCAATAGGCAATAGATCACCATCGACTTTAATATGCTCAAAAAGAAGGATAATGGCTGCCTCGAATTCTATGGGCTGAACTCGATAAACCAAAAGAAAACTTTCAAAGCTAACCACCAAAAAAAGAAAACTCAGAAAAACAAGAGAAAATCTCAAAATATTT